TATCCTTGCCCCAGATCTGCAAATGTTAGCAGCTGGCTTAAGTCTTAATAATCTCTTCCCATAGTTAGGAAATATTTATCTATAGCCCTACAGAAGGAGGTGTATCCTCATTTCCTTAATTCATGGGGTATATAATCTTGTGCCTAGTGTTACAAGGCACAAGACATCCAAAACAGGGAAGGAAGAAACTTGTGCAGATACAAGGTACACATTCATCTGCTTCAAAGGGTGGTGAGGTGGGAAAAATTCTAGATTCAATGCAAAATTTCTCAAAGTAGAATCTCTGAGTATAAAGGAAAAACAAAGGTGAACAAGGCAGCCATTGTGCAAATGGCCAGATCTGAGATGTGACCTAAAACATTCAGTTTGGAATGCACATCCCTTGTATGCCATTGTTTCTTCTATGTTCACAACTTTGTACTGTTTGGGGGTTTTGCTTGTTTCACGCATTCAGTAAATTGAGTATCTTCTATGGGTGATGAGCCTTTTGTACATTTTTAACATTCAACGCTTCATATTTTGGGTCATTTTTTACCTTCAGGAACAACAGCATGGCACCAATTACACTATGGTTAAACATGATTCTATTGGGGAGGGGAGAGGTTGGTAGATGTCTACATAACCTGGATTAGTTTTTTTTTCCTAAAAAAGGGGGATTCTATTTTGTGCCATATGCCTTTAAATTCTATGGGTTTAGAATTAGGATTAAAGCAGTGTGATTTAGTGAAAGTGGTTACTCAAAACCCTCTGTATATAAAAACCTCAGGTCTGTTTCCATAGATTTGACTTACAGGGTTTGGGACCTGAATTACCAAGATAATTCCCTCCACTCTTCGTTGCATTTGTCTAAGCAATTTAAAACTTAAGCACCACTTTATTTTTCGCATTTCAGTTCATTTGTTTTGTTTGTTTGTTTCTGTATAAACAGGTTGTTTCTTCCTCGGCGTTACGCCCTAGCTGTTTGTCTAGTTAGCTTTCTCCCTACTTGTTATTTACTACGCAAGGCCACAGTTCAGGGTCCTGTCTTTCTAATATCTGCACAACTGAAAGCAAGCTGTTTTCCAGAAAGATTCCCAAGCAAGAGTAACAGGTATTCTGACAGCGAAATTAACCACCTCATATTCCTCATCCCTTTATTCCTGCAAATGAGAAAACTAATCTTGTTATGTAAGAAGTCATTACTTCATCTGCTCATCAGCTGTTTCTGACATGCTCCAGTTGGCTCTCAGTTTGGAAATAAAATTACACAAGGATGAAAATGAAACCTGTTTCAGAACATTTTCAAGGAAGATTTGTTCCTTTAATGGGCTCTCGGCCGAAAGATATGGTTTTTAATTTGTGAGAAAGTAAAAATGCAGTTCAAAGAAGTGAAGCATAAAAAGTCAGGGGTCAAAACTTTCTTATTTTTTTATAGCAAGGAAGTTCAAACTCCATATGAAGTGAAATCACAACCACAATTTTTGCTGTGATTTACCTCTAACAGTTTGGGCAATTCATCAGAAGACAACTTAAAATTTAGTCTGGCTTTGATGTCAGTTTTTCATACATAGTAGTTTTAGAATCCAATTTTTTTTCCCAAGTAAGTATTAAGCACATTGACTTCAGTCTTACTGTCTCTATTTTCTTATAATTATAGGTCTCTGTTTTACTTTTTCTGGCAAACAATATATTTCTCAATTAACACACGAAGGAATAGAGAACGTTTGCACAATGTCCTCCACAGTTGCAAGAGATTTTATAAATATTGGAGCTGAGCGCAAACCCTCAGGATACAGTGAAATAATCAAGGATCGGAAAGAACACAAGAGTCTAAGATAAAGCTACTTATAATTATCATTAATATTATACTTACTGTTATTTTACTTAACTGCTTACAGAAGGTAGGAATTAAGACAATGCGGTCTCTGAAGATGAAGTTTCTTATACTCACATACTAAGTTCACCAAAACCTCGCTGTTCAGCTGTGTGGTCTTGGGCAAGTTACTCAACACATCTGTGCCTCAACAGCCTCAACTGTTGCCCGGGGCCAAGGCTGGGAAGAGAGGATGAGTAAAGCAGGTCCTAACTCATACAGATGTCGTGAAGACTTAATGAATCATCACAAAAAGTTGTCACTTCCTGAGCACTTACTTCTCATCAGACACTATTTTAAGCAATTTATAATCCCCAAAGCTGGTAACTTGAAGAAGTTCTAAAATACTACTACACACATTGGGAATTTATACACTCCTTCAGGGATACTTTTTTTTTCTAAGAAAACAAAGTAATGTCATTATCTCATATCAAGAACTAATTTAACATTTCTCCTAATACTAAGGTGTCCTATGTATTGTGTTCATTCTCAAATACAAAGACAATAGTCAGATTTATTGTTTGTAGAAGGCACACTGCACAAAGACTCAACATAAAAATAAACCGCATAGTTGCTAAATTTGTTGATGACAAGGGCGACAGTGATGTAATTGACTTATTTTTAAAGGATCTTTCATAACCCCGACTAAATGTTTTGTTCCTCTAGCAAATATACTTGAATTAGAAAGAGGCCTTTGTACAACTGAACTGCACGACCACTTTGTTAAGATACATTCTTTGACAAACCCAACGATGTGGCCTATTGCATATATCTTCTCTTAGTTTACAGCAATTTTGACTCTACGTGGAGGGCATCCATGAAATATACAGATATTGTCGAGCATAGTAAGTACTCGATAAAAATAATGTTAGATAACTTTTCATTAGGGACACAAGGCTGCTAACTACTCTGTGCTAGCAAAGACAATGAGAATCAAGCTGCTAAATAATCAGTGCCATCCAGAGAACTGCTTTTAAGCTTCAGCGAATAACAGATGTGGCTGAACACAGCTAAGAGAAACGGTTCCAGCTTTTACTGAGTCGAACCTTAACTGCCCACAAGTTACTTTGGAAAATCCATTAATCTTTAGAGAGCTCTGAGATTTACTTCATTATTGATGGTCAGTAGAAACTGAGTTTGTCTATCACTCCTTGGCAGCTAAGGAGAACAGTGCAGAGAAAAAGAGAAGTGGGTTCTGGTCCCCACTCTATAGCCACTTAGCTGATATATTGTGCAAGTCACTCATGATCCCGGGGCTTTTGTTTTTCTACGTACATATTGATACTAAAACACTTCTCTTAAGATCTTGCTAAATTTTGGATCACGGGTAGGTACCAATAAGAAACAGAGTGTTCCTTCTGGGACATCTTATCAGAGAAATAAATATACCTCAGTCTTGTAGGGTTAATGGGTTTCAATAGTTTTAAGAAAAATTCTCTCCTTTTTTTTTTTTAAGATAGAAAGCAATTTCATTCTTTTTTCTTCTCAGATCTGTTTTAAACATATGGATATATCAAAAATGATTATTCAGCTGGAAGAGAGAAGATGGCGGAGTAGAAGGGTGCTCGCAGCTCACCCTCTCCCACAACTGCACCAAGACTCACATCCACAGACCCACTCAGCCAACCAGAGCACC